GCCAGAGGGTTTTGTCAATACAGAGTACCCTAATAAAGTGTGTAAGCTTGAGAATCCATTTATGGGTTAAAGCAAGCACCTCGCAGATGGAATCTTTGCTTTGATGAGAAAGTCAAAGAATTTGGCTTTTCTAGGAGTGAAGATGAATCTTGTGTATATGTCAAGGCTAGTGGGAGTATAGTTAGCTTTTTGGTATTGTATGTGGATGACATACTACTCATAGGAAATGACATCCCAACTCTGCAGGAAGTTAAGTCCTGTCTTGGGAAGTGTTTCTCTATGAAGGACCTAGGAGAAGCTGCCTATATTCTAGGGATAAGGATCTTGAGAGACCGGAGTAAAAGACTAATTGGACTTAGTCAGAGTACTTACTTGGATAAGGTGTTGAAGAGATTCGGCATGCAGGACTCCAAGAAAGGAGAGTTACCCATCCAGAGTAATGCCAGATTGAGTAAGACACAAAGCCCTAGTACTGAGGCTGAGATAGCAGAAATGAGTCGAATACCTTATGCTTCGGCTGTAGGATCGATCATGTATGCTATGACGTGTACTCGACCTGATGTAGCCTTTGCTTTGAGCATGGTTAGCAGGTATCAGGGGAACCCTGGCAAGGCACACTGGACTGCGGTAAAGAATATCCTCAAGTACCTACGGAGGACTAAGGACTGGGTCCTTACCCTCGGTGGGAGTGAAGACTTGAGAGTTGTAGGGTATAGTGATGCTAGCTTTCAGACTGATAGGGATAATTTCCGCTCTCAGTCAGGCTGGGTCTTTACCTTAAATGGAGGAGCAATTTCTTGGAAGAGTTCCAAGCAAGAGACAGTGGCTGATTCAACTTGCGAATCAGAGTATATAGCAGCTAGCGAGGCAGCAAAGGAGGCGATATGGCTGAAGAACTTCATTGGAGACCTTGGAGTTGTACCAGCTATTAAAGAGCCAATGGAAATTTTCTGTGATAGTGAAATGCAGTTGCCTTAGCCAAGGAACCAAGGGATCACGGGAGATCCAGACACATCGACAGAAAATACCATTTCATCAGACATCGAATAGAAGAAGGACTCCCGTGGCAAAGAGGGTATCATCGGATGAGAATCCAGCAGATCCCCTCACGAAGGGACTGACTCGGGTTAAGCATCTCCAGCATGCTCGGAGCATAGGGCTGAAGGATGATATTAGATTTAGTAGTTAGATAACCTTGAAATTTGTAAAGTGTAATTGACATTAGATGATGAATAAAAGGTGTTTTATTTATGAGTAAAGTGTTGCTATCTCTTGTCGATCGTTTACTATATTTCTTTTGCATGTTTTGACTTCCAGAATAATTATGTTTGGTATATCATATTGTTCGAACCTCCACAGTCGGTCATATGTCGGAAGTAGGTATGAATCAAGACTGTCATGATTGGTTGCAGAGGTCTAAGTTGTTGGACATGGCTACAACACTCATGAGTGCTCATAAGTTCTGAGCATTGGACTCAACCCACGCTCACTGGAATCACTTCATGGAATTTATCTCGAGTGATCGTGAGACGGTAATATCATATAAGTCTTCAAACCTAGATATATGATTTGTTACTTATGAGTTGGTTATGCATTGATCGTACGAAAACGCATTGGTAACTCGATGTTATAAAACATGCTCTTGTGTATAATTCAATGAGTAGTAGAACAAACATATGAGTCGAAGTTTATCTGTTCCTTCTTGGATTAGAAGCTGATATCTGGGCCCCTCGATGATTTTGTTTTGACCTATGTACCGGACTCGGTCAGAACTAAGTTGATGTGTTCAATTGAGTTCTATGTCAAACAAATCGGAAATCGGGAAACAAACTGCTGGACACAAAGTAAGACACTGTTCCAAGTATTTGTCCGGCTGATATCTAGAACAGAGGATTATATGATCACTTATCTGAAATGGCGTATCATCATCTTCTCAGTTCCGAGAAACCTTGAAAAGAGCTACGATTGCTGATCGGTTCCTGAAGTCATACTTGCAGTTATAGTTATTAGACTTATCCAAGTGGGAGACTGTTGGATAAGGTGTCTAAGTCCATAACTATTTCTGGTATGTACTTGACCCGACCCGGCATGGTCCATTTGGGTTGCATGGCATCATGCATTTGGATAGACTAAATGAGAGAAATAACACTTGTGGTTTATTAATATATTATAAGTTCTAATATATTAATAGTATTATTTAATTAGTATTGATCAAGAATTAATCTAGGATTAATTAAGTGATCAAAAGATGACTAATTAAATATATGGGTTGATCATGTAAATCATCCATAACTTGTATAGTGGGCTAAAAGGCTCCATGGATAATCAAGTTGGGTTAAACCCATTGAATGCTCCATGGAGGCTCCATGGGAGTTACAAACCCATGGGTCATGGAAATGAAGAGTCATGCCACATTAGGGTTTACATGGTGTAACCCTAGATGTGACACACTATATAAGCAACATGTTCTCCACCAAAATCGGCGACACATAATAAACAAGAGGGCTAGGCCGATTTTTAGAAGTGTGTATTCTCTCTAAAGTCATTCCAAAAGCATTTGGTGTTGTGTCAAGCATTTGAGGCATCACACTTGGGGTGCTAGGCTCACAAGGTTTCAAGGATCATAATCAACAACAAGGTAAGTTATTCTATCTTTCATTTAAGTTAAAAATGTTCCCCATGTATGCTAGATAGGAATATAACCTTGGAATTCAACTTTGCATGATTATTAGACAAACATAGATCCAAGGTTATTAGGGTTGCATGTACACTTAGGAAGTGTTAGAATGCTCAAAACCCATCAGTATCTGCGGGACTTCAGCAGTGCCAGGTGAGTTATCCTCACTATACTCAAGGGTCTAAGGCACCAAGGCCGACCCTTTGAATTGTTATTGGTTATGTTATGCTGGTATGATCTGTTAGATCGATATCCTAGAGGGTAGGATGATAAATATGTGATATGTGGTATGACCTCTTAGTTAGATATCCTAGAAGGTAGGATATAATATTATATGTTATGTAATATGATCCGGTAGATCAGTTTGTTGTCTATAGACTGTTATGTGATTATCTGTTATATGTGCACATGTTTGTTTGGCGGTTGAGGTTTATCTGCTTTGTGCGAAAGCCAATAGACCTGGGCATTCCAACCTGTTGGTTGTGGGCCGTGAGTATTCCATCCCGAGGATGACTGGACTCATAGTATGTGGGCATTCCAACCTGTTGGTTGTGGGCCTGGGGTATTCCAACCTGATGGTTGATTGGACTCATAGTGTGTTGGCATTCTAACCTGTTGGTTGAGGGTCTGGGGTATTCCAACCTGATGGTTGATCGGACCCGTGTTAGCATTCCAACCTGCTGGTTGAGGGCCTGGGGGTATTCCAACCCGAGGGTTGATTGGACCCATAGTATGTTGTTTATGATTATGTGTGTATTGTTGTGGGTATGGGTATTTTGGGGGAACTCACTAAGCTTTCGGGCTTATAGTTTTAGTTTATTGTTTCAGGTGCATCAGGGGATCGTGGCAAGGCAAAGGCGTGATCGTACAGCTCCTCACTTTTTATTACTTTGTTCCTGGGATACTCTGATATGATACATTTTGAAAACAAGTTTTGTAATGGTTAATGGATCTGAAATGTTTTTAAAAGTTTAAATTTGGCATGATTTTTATGGGTGTTACAAAAATCAACAAGAACCCGTGTGTTATTTGCTTCCAAGGCTTCAAACTCTTTGACCATAGCTTCTTGCCATTCAGGTATTAATACAGCCTCTTCAAAGCATGATGGTTCAGAAATTCGATCCATATTTTGAATTAACCGTTTGCTTTCTTGTGATAAGGTAGAAAAGCAAACATGTTTTGGTGAAGAAGTATAAGTGACATTATTAGAATAGGATAAAAATGAATAACATTGAGGATTTTGGAAATTGCAAGAAGCATTATTGCAAATAAAGTCTTGCAAGTGGGCAGGAGTCTTGAGAGTTCTGGTGGTGCGTCTAAGAACATGTGGATGATCTGTATGAACATGTAATGGTTGAGAATTATCATGAGGGGTATTTTGGGTATTTTCAGAAGTAGCATCAGGAACAATGGGAACATCAATATCAAATTGACATAAGTTGATCTCACTTGGGAATAAGGGCTCAAAGGATGTTTTCTTATCAGAATTCGGAAAAATATGTTCATGAAAGATGACATCTCTGGAAACAAGAATTTGCTTTGTTGTCATATCATAAATTTGTATCCTTTCTTGCCGTATGGATAACCAATAAAAATACTTGGAAGAGCTCTGGGCTTAAATTTGTCTCTGTTGTGTGATAAGGTACTAACAAAACATAAACATCCAAAACTCTTCAAATCTGAATATTTAGGATGCTTACCATATAGTACAAAATAAGGGGAATTTCCTTTTAAAACTTTTGATGGAAATTTGTTTATCAAATGAGTGGCAGTTAAGACACAGTCACCCCAAAAACTTAGGGGTAGTTTTGACTGAAACATTAGAGCTCTAGAAGTTTCCAAAAGATGTTTGTGTTTCCTCTCAACAACTCCATTTTGTTGAGGGGGGTATTCCTACAAGTTGTTTGATGGAGAATGCCCTGTTCTTGAAAAAAATGAAATGGCCTCATTATGTGATCCCAATTCATAAGCATTGTCTGATCTTATGACTTTGACGTTCTTGCAAAATTGAGTTAGAACCATCCGAATGAAACCTTTGATGACATTAAAGGCATTACTTTTGGTACTTAAAAGATGAGTCCATGTGGTTCTAGTAAAGTCATCTATAATAGTAAGAAAATAAGACTTTCCATTATAGGTTTTAGTGTGATATGGGCCCCATGTATCAACATGAATCAAATCAAAAGGAGATGAGGTATGAATCGTACTTTGACCAAAAGGTAACTTGTGTTGTCTAGCTCTAGAACATATATCACAAGAAAGATTAGAATTAATCTTTTCATTGTTCAAAAGATTTAAAACTTTCAACTTGTACAATGGCAAATGTCCAAGCCTATTATGCCACAACAGAAATGAATTGTTTGTGGTAGCATTATTAGAAACAGAAGTAGAAAAAATGACAGATGGATCTGAAGGGGTATTTGAAGTAACAGAAAGGGATATTGCTCTGTTCTTGTTCTGGTTGGAATGCATGAAATATAGTCCGACTTGATGCCTACCAAGAACCAGTGGCCTCTTCAGAGAAAGGCCCTGCAATAAGAAACAAAACTTGTCTGAAAATACAACAAGAGATTTTAATTGGTGACACAACTTACTGATTGACAGAAGATTAAATTGGAAATGAGGTACATGAAGAACATTATGAAGAATAACATTCTCAGCAAGATAAGTGCTTCCAACTTCATAAGCACTCAATTGTTGTCCATTAGGAAGAGTTATTTGATATGGAACTTTTATAGTTTGGATTTGAAATAACAAGGATCTATTATGGCACATATGATCACTAGCCCCTGAGTCAATAATCCATGTAGTTGTAGCAGTAACAAGACAATGACAACTAACTGGATTAATATTGACTACTCCATTAGGGGTATTTTGGGAAAGAAAAAACGTTACCAGCAAAGTTGAAGTTGGAGTGATTCATATTGGCATTGTTTTGATTGACTTGAGATTGTTGATTTAAATTGGATGGAGTCTGAACGCAATTGACATTTGTTGGATTGATGTGATGAGTTTGAGGCTGGCTTTGATGATAAGTACTCATTTGTGCATGATTCTGTGATTCAGATCCTTTGTTGAAGTTGTTAAACATGGAAATGAATTGTTGATATTGTTGAAACTGCTCTTTTGAAAACTCAGGAAGACTTTGAGTGTTGTAGGAGAATTATTTGATTGTTGAGTATGATGATCCTCATTATCATTATGAAAAATTGCATTGGCAGCAATTCCTTTTCCTTTTGTGAACTTAAAATCTTTTGGAAAACCAATAAGGCGATAGCATTTGTTGGCTGTATGACCAGGTTTCTTACAGAAATTGCATGTGATGTTTCTTTTAGAATCTTTCCCTTCATAATTGTTCTTGACATGAGATGTACCAGCCTTAATGTTCATAGCAGCGGATTCAGGAAAAAAACTGGAAGATGAATTTACCTCTCTCTGTTTTTCGTCTTGAATTAAGAGAGCATAAGCTTGTGCCACAGATGGAAGTGCTTTCATCATGAGAATGTTTCCTCTAACAGCTCCATATTCACCATTTAATCCCATGAGAAACTTGATCAGCTTTTGATTTTGTTGATTTTCTTGAACTTGTTTGTGCAGATCCGCAAGTACAAGTAGGAATGGAGGATAAAGAATTCAATTCATCCCAAAGTTTCTTCAGCTTGGTGAAATAGGTGGCTAGATCATTCGATCCCTGAGATAAATCAGAAATTGACTTTTGAAGATGATAAAGTTTGGCTCCATTTGATTGACCAAATCGATCATCTAAATCCTTCCAGATTTCCTTTGCAGATGAAGATTATAGAACAGATTCGACAATATCGTTTGATAATACATTCAAGATCCAAGATGTAACCATATCATTACATCTTTGCCATGATTCAAAAGTGTTATGATCAGGATCTGGTTGAGGAATTTTGCCATTAACAAATCCTAACTTGTTTTTAGCAGATAAAGCGATCATTATAGCTTTCTTCCAGGAGTTGAAATTTGTGCCATCAAATTGTTTAGACACTAACAACATGCCTGGATGATCCGAAGGATGAAGGTATAAAGGATCAGATGTGGAATTAGCAATTTGAGAAGACGAAGATGATCCGGATTGACCAGACGCCATTGATGCAGAAGTCACCATTGATACAGAGCTTTGGAATGAAGAATTCCAAAAATATATAGCAAGAACCAATCAATCAAGTAATTGATTGATAAACGAATCAATCAAACAATTGATTGATGAACAGATGATTCGGAAAAAAAATCAGATTATTGTAAAAAAAAATCAAGAACGCTCGCTCTGATACCATAATGATTTGTGAAGAGTTAGAGAGAGAAAAACTATTTTCATTATTCTCAAATTTGTTATTACAATACTGAAGAATAGGAGATTATATAATCTGTACAAGCTAATCTAATCAGATTAAGGGGCTGTTTGATTTGGTGCTGACCAGGTCCGGTCAGACGTTTATATCTGACTCGGTCCGGTCAGATTGTTTGGTTTGCACCTGACCTGGTCCATATCACTTACTCGGTCCAAAATAATCGCTTACTCGGTCCGACAAAAAAACATAGCTGACTGAGAATAATCCTTGCCCTCGTCCCAAAATATGCATTCACATTCACCTCTTCTTCCTCGTCGCCAAGGCTACAGTTCCATCACTTTCTCCTCAAACGTCGACCTCATCCTCCATAGTCACCCTCCTACATTGCAATCGTTGTTCCTGTCTCCGTCTTCGTCCCTGTCAAAGACACCGTGTTCGAGATCAAGGTAAGGATTCATTGTTCCATTCAATTGAAATTCATCAGTTCGATGATTCTATAACACTTAATTCTCTCTCTCTCTCTCTCTCTCTCTCTCCACACACAACTTTTCTTGTAAAATAGCACATTGAAAAGTTTTTCTTTTCTTTTTGACAAAGATTGGCATAAACCTGCAACTACACGAGGTGACGACCTGCAACTCCCTCCTAACTTCCTAAGTAATTAGATACAAATATGTATGTATTTTCTGAAATTAGATGTTATTTGTGTATGTATTTTCTGAAATTAGATGTTTTTTTTTTGTATTTATTTGCAGAAATTTGATTGTATTTGTCTATTACCCAACATACCTAATCAACAGTTTTGTCTATTGATTTGTTTAATTGTTCAGAGTATACCACAACCATTGACAGAATTGATGCATTTTGAACAAAATTGGATCCAATATTGTTGATTAGGAGGTTTGCTTACTGGGTTGTATTGAGTATTTGTTGCTTTGTTAGATTTTACTAATTCTCTAACAACCAATCACGTGATAAACCCGTGAGGTCAACATAAGTCAAGGATAACACTAACAGACGTCGTTCTCCATCTACTTATCAAAATCCAATGTATAGCAAAAAGGTTTTAAAATCCAAAGCAATTTGGTCAATTAATTATTTTTGATAAGCTAAAATAATTATAAAATATAAAAAGTGTTTAAAAAAGCTTAAAATCAGAAGGACCAAAACTGTAATTACTCTAAATTTAATCTCTTGCCCTCGCGATAATAGCTACAACCTCCGAGGGCTATATACGCCCAAAAATTAGGGCTTTTCTACTGTAAACGAATTTCCACTCAGAAGGAAATGAGGCCATCTCAGAGGGGATTACGAAAAAGGATTTACAGGGGTGGTTGCCCTCCTCTGTTCAAATCGAAGTTCGGATCCGATTATTTACTCAAAAATCCATCTTCGTGGCCAATGATTTTCCCAAAAATCAACAACCCCCGTAAGCACGCAGGCAGACAAATGGTCTAACATTGCATTGCTGCTGCTTTTATTAGAGTAAATTGCATAAATGGTCCCTGTGGTTTGGTTATCTGCGCTTTGTTCTTGATTCAACTTAACTCATTATCTGAGGCTGTGATGATGAATTTCTATGTCTCTGAGTGGATTCGAGCAAAGTTGAGATTATCCGCATCTTGGCAGGGCAAATCGGATGGTTATGTTAAAGAATCTCTGTCTTCTTTTACATTGCAACGAGTAAGTTTGCAGCCATGGCGGATTCATCCTCTTTGTTCGATCGTTTACAGATCTGAGCCTCTTTTGAATATTTCCTATTTATTTCAATCTCAACCTATCAGGATTTTTACTGGATTTTTTTGATTTTAATGAGACATTAACTCATTGATCTTATTTAGTTTTTGAATTGCAAATTTTTACTGAAATTTTATAACAATTTGCAGTATGGTTCTTTCCCCTCTCAATTTTCTAAAAACATTTTCTTAAATTTCTTTTCCACAACTTCGCATAAAATTGTCATTTAGTTTTGGAAAAATCTATTTCATAATAGAAACAAATTCTTCATTGATCTCATTTATAGATAAAATGGATTGATTCACTGTTGTAGACCTTGAATCTGCAGAGAGTTGTATGGAGGAAACTAAAATCTACAAATGATCTTGAAATGAGCTCAACATGGTAAACTGTGTTTCTATTCTTTGGAAGTGATTATATGAAATACACAGTAGTCAGTTTTTAGTATGTTGTCAAACTTGTTTGCTTATGAGAGATGATAATATTAGTATTCAGGGTCAAATAATTGGATTTTGTATAAATGAGTTATTTATAAAGGGCAATATGAAATTATATATGTACCCTTATGGTTTCGGGGTTTTCAGCTATTCTTCACTTAAATCTATGACCAAAATAGAAATGGCGACAATAACAGTAACAAAAAAAATAAAGACAACACCAAATGTAACAAAAAATTGCACAAAACTATTATAAGTGGTCATTGATGGGATGCATAAGCGCAAATGGCCGCATGAAGTATTACAAAGATGCATCTAATCTTATATAAGACATCTCTAACCCATAACATTATTTTTTATACTAAAACCTATAATTATAATATCCATAACATTATTTTTTATACTAAAACGTATAATTATAATATAAAAAATAGTGTTAGTACTAAACCTCTCCAACCCATTCAGCTATAATTAATGTTAAAAACAATATTCTAGGTATAATTTTATCTTATCTAGTTTTTATAATTTTACAAAAAAAAATCTCTATATAAACTATTGACAAAACTTCAAAAATGGTCCATGTGGTTTTCGAAAATCTGAAGTTTAGTCTTTAATTTATAAAAACCTCACAGATGGTCCTTGTGGTTTCAAAACTTTTAACAAATGGTCCTTTTAGCTAACTCCGTTAGCTTTTGGCCGTTAAGGGAAGGACATTTCTGTCATTTCACTACCACAGTGACTATTTATGAAGTTTTGCCTTAATTTTTTAAATAAAAGAAAAATAAATATAATTATTTAATATTAAAGGGCTCTCTCTCTCTCTCTCTCTCTCTCTCTCTCTCTCTCTCTCTCTCTCTCTCTCTCTCTCCCTTTCCTTGTCTTCTCCCTCTATTTTTTTCATTGTCTTCTCCCTCTCAATGATATGCAGAAAGAAAAAAAAGAAACTCCAACCACATACACCCATTTGATTATTCTGGCTTCATTTTCAATGGAAACTCGAACTGTGAATAAATGAATATATAAACCATTCTATATATTCATTCCATTATCACATTCCTCCAATCCAAGAGCAAACCTGCAAGCCAAGAGTAAACCAAGAGTTGGGGTGAGATACGAAATGGAACAAGGGGGTTAAAATGGTTCATCGTTTAATCGACAGCAAAAACGCACACAGGAGAACAAAAAATAAAGAAGATATCAAATGAACTTCATCTTCCCCTCCGATTTGAGTGCTGTTAATCGAGTATTGTTAAAAAAAATAAAGAAGATATCAAAATCGAGTACTGTTAATCGTGTTCTCCAACAACGATTTGAGTGGCTAAGTCAAAAAAACTACAATAACTTAAAACAAAACCTTGATTTTGTTTTTAAATTCTTGAAATCAAGCCTAAATCCAAGACAAAACACGATTGTGACAGGTTGTGGTTTTCTATAATCGTCTTCTTCACTCTTGCAACACATCAATAGAAGGCGCCCATGGCTTAGTTCAGCTCGAAAACAACGATTCCCTAACGACATATCCATTGCTTTGATAATCAGCCTCCCTCTATCCCGATGAGGTCTATCTTGAAACGATTTAGACTCACTCATCGTCGTCAATGGAGGTGGAAAGCTTCGTGAAAGCACCATCTTGGACTCCACCTAATCTTCCGACTCCTTTGACTAATAAAGTCGATGATGGGAAGGCAAAAATGGGGTCATCCCCGCTCGTGTTGCTGCTAGTTTCGCTACCTAAACTCCCAGTTCAAAGATCGAGACTTTTCTGGGTAACTTTCAGAGATTTTTGGTCATGAAGATAAGATTTTCTGGTTTTTGTGAGGAAGTTTCATCAATAGGCTTGTGGGAAAAGGGAGATTCGAGGAAAGTAGAAGGTATGAAGATGGTTTTTTGGTTCTAAGATTTAGGGGGGGGGGGGAGAGAGGAAGAGAGAGAGGAGAGAGAGAGAGGCGAGAGAGAGAGACCCTTTAATATTAAATAATTTTTTTTCCCTAAGGCAACCTTCATCAATGGTCCCTATGGTAGTGAAATGACAGAAATATCTTTCACTTAACGGCCAAATTCTAACGGAGTTAACGAAAAGGACCATTTGTTAAAAGTTTTGAAACCACAAGGACCATCTGTGAGGTTTTAATAAATTAGGGACTAAACTTCAGATTTTCGGAAACCACAGAGACCATTTTTAAAGTTTTGTCTAAACTATTTAGGGTCGTCTCATTTATTTATTTTTTATTTTGTTTGTAAATATAATGTACATTCCTTAAATATTGTAATATATATGTTGTTTTTTGGTTTTTATTTGGTGTCAAGTTAATTGTCTATTATTTACTTTCAATCTTCTATATAATATTATTTGTAATTTTTTTTAATTGTTCATTTAAAAAATATATATTATGTTAGTTTATTAATTTTATATAATAATACATTCAAACATGAATATGGACTCTTGTAAGCCTAAAAATATGCTAAAGTAAATAATTTCTATTTGAATAATAGAAAATCTATAAATATGTCTATTATATCGACCAATCAAAACCCAACTGTTATAAATATCTTTAACACCGGTATAATATATATAGAAGAATATATATATATATATATATATATATATATTATATAATACTCTATATATAGATAGATATATATCTATAATATATGTGTAGATTCATATACCATGCAGTCAACAATATTTTTTTTTCCTTTCATATCTATTTTATAACCACACAAATAACAACATATACTCCGTTCAAGCTAGAAGGAAAAGAAAATTAAGAAAAATATTATTTGGATAATAGGAAATCCAATAAATTTTTTATCAAATCCACCGGTAAAAGTTAATGTTCAAATCAACATATAACTTTACAATCTTCTCCTTCAAATTTAGATGTTAAAACTATATTATCTAACATTTTCAATGTAATACTTTAATTTTC